TCAAACTTACACAGTGGTTGGCAGAATTGGGTTCCTTGCGGCTGTCAGACCGAACCCCCTCCCCGACCCCCACCCTCTGGCTGGCTGTTAACCAGCGGCCACGCTCGGCAGCTTGTCATGGGGTCTCCTCCAAGGCCCACGCAGGCTTCAAATCCCTCCCATGCTGAGTCTCCTTTAAGGGGTCACCTGATTAGGGCAGGCTCACCCAATCTCCCTTTCTTCGAGTCTCCTGTGCCACGAAACATAATCTACTCACAGGGGTGACTATCCCATCCGTCTTGCAGGCTCTGGCCGTGCTCAAGGAGACAGAGCTCCCCAGGGTCATAGGTCAGCGGAGGCCATCTCAGAATTCTGCCTACCTCAGGTGGTATGTGTGTGTGTGGAATGAGGGAGGGTGGGAACGAGGGAGGAGGGCAAGAGATTGACAAGGAAACACAGCATCTTCAACCTGAGGAAAGTTGTTCCAGGGTCAGTGTGGGAGGGGCTAGGTGCTAACTAACGTATCCAAGCTACAGCGCAGTGGTTAGTCTTGTAATTTGGTCTCCAGGCCCTTCCCTCCGTGGTGCCTTCCACGATGAAGGATGGTGGGAAAAGCACCCCCCCCCCAACCATGGAGCTTCATGGAAGATCTGGTTCTGTTCTTACTCGCACAGTGGCTACGGGCAACGAGGAGTATTTGAGGGTCAAGGTGGTCCACCTACAGCCTTCCCAAGGATGCCCAATGCCGGAAACATTTAAATCTTCCCTCTCCGCCCTCCCCAGAGACGCCTGACATCACCTCCCCAGGACAGAAGAGCCGGGAAGGTGACCAGTAAGATTCCTGGTGTGTTTTGTTTTGTTTCTTTCCTCCCATCGCCCCATTCGAAATGTTTTAGAAAACCTTTGGCTTTTCCCAAAGCCCTCTGTTAGGACCTCGGCTCCACCAACTGTAAAATTTCAACCACTTAGGGGCGCCTGGGTGGCTCAGTCGGTTGAGCATCCGACTCTTGATTTTAGCTCAGGTTATGATGCCAGGGTCGTCGGATCAAGCCCTGGGTTGGGTTCCTCACTGACCGGGGAGCCTGCTTGAGATTCTCTCTCTCTCTCTCTCTCTCTCTCTCTCTTTCTCTGCCCCTTCCCACCACCCCACCCCCCAAAAATCAGCAACTTGGTCAAGGTCAAGGCTGAATGTAATCATGCCATTGTTAAGTTGTGAGGCATTGCAGGTGAGACTCCTGGGCTGGAGCCACATGGCCACACGGACATGTGGTCCCATGTCCGGGTCTTTGCCCAGGCTGTCCCCCTGCCTGGGTCGGCCCCCCGGCACGTAGAGCAGATGAAGCTGCAAGGCCAGCATCCTGCCTGCCCAGCTGGGCCACTGAGGTTGACCAGATGGACTCTGTTTATTTAGGGCCCTGGCTCCCTTGTGCTGGCTGTTCTTTGCCAAGCCGGCTGCCTATCAGAACGCTCTTGGTGGCTAATTAGGCAGGCTTCCTCCCGGCGTGCCAGGAGACTAGTGTGAGCTCAGGCTCCCAGAGAGCCCATCCAGCAGGTAGCGGGCGCACATCCAGAGTAGCTGCTCCTTACCCCCACGGGGCCGTGGGTGCCACCCAGAAGCACCCAAGGCGGGCCCACGGGTGGGTCATCCCCTTCCTTTAGCCTGGCAACTGCTCTTCCTGACACTTTTCATGGCAACCTGGGGGCATTCCCAGGGTGCCTGAGTGGCCATGAATCTGAGCTCCCCGAAAGTCTGAAGGGACCCCTCACAGTGGAGAACTTGCCCTGTCAGCACAGGGCGAGGTTTCCCCGTCTGCAAAGTGGGTGTGATCACCCCGACGCCCCGGGGCCGATGGGGCGCAGCTGGTGCCCGTCCTGGCCGTGGCCCCTTCGGGACACACCGCCGCAGGTGAGGCCTCTCGTGTGCCCATCAGGCCTTGCACATGCTGCCTTGGTCACACGCCCTACAAGCAGGCAGACAGGGTGGGAAGCTTCTATCTGAGGGCACATCCAGCGTGGCCACAGGTCAGCATTATGTCCCCCACTGTGTCCTCAAGGGAGCCTAAATGCAAACGAAGCTCAAAGCACCTTCTTCTGCTCCCCATCCCGCGTCCTCAGCTCAAAGCCGGGCCCCACCATCTCAAATGCTCTCCAGACATGGGCACCAGCCTAGACCTTCTCTCTTCCTCTACATCCAAGCCCTGGGGGTCCTGCCTCCCAAAATGCGTCTTGAATCTACCCAGCCCCGTGGCCACCGCCTGAGTGCATGCCCAAAGCCTGCCTGCCCCGGACCACGGCTGAGGCAGCCTGGGTCTGGGCCCTGCACCCACAGTGGACCCCCATCCCCCACCACAAGCGGCGCCCTGAGCCAGGCCTGTCCCGAGTGCCAGGTGCACAACAGCGATTGCATGTCAACCCCTACCTTCAAGGGCCTGTCCCAGCCTCTAAAATCATGCCCCTGATCCTCTCACCTTGTCGGGCAGACAAGATAAGCTAGAAAGGACCAGAGAGACGAGCTCAGACTCCGGCCAGGCCCGTCGAAGTCCAACCCCAGCCCTGCCCTCCACCTGATCGTGACTTTGGGCAAGTGATCTGCCTGCTCCGAGCCTCAGGACTAATCACCACACGACACCTGCCGCCCGGGGCCCGTGGGAGAGTCGCTGATACGACCCTGAACTCCACTCAATTACAGGGGAACGTGCCCGCTACCCACGCAGTCCTGAGACACCGAAGTTCCTGCTCGGGGACCCGGATCTTATTTTGCCGACTCTCCTTCCCTCTGAGAGTCGGCCTGTGCGGGCGGTCCTCACCTGCCCAGCCTGCACGCAGCCCGCTCTTTCCTGGGGCTGGCTCCCTTCCGGGCATCCAGCTCAAACAGGCCCCCGCAGTGGGTCCCAACTCAGCCCTGTCAAAGGACCCCTGTGTGAGCCTCAAACGGGCCATTGATAGGGCCGTAGTGAGCGCTGCCCAGTGGATGGTGCACTGGCTTGGCTTGGCCAGGCCACTCGACTTCCCCAAACCCAGCTATTTCCTGTGTCTCGGGCCAGCCTCCTCTCGGCCGCCTGGCCACAGGGCACAATCCCACCATACAGCTCAGCCTGCTTCTTGGCTTCAGGCCAGGAGGGATGGGAGGCAGGAGGGTGTCGCTTCAGCCGGTCCTCCGGACACACGGCCACGGCCCCCTCTTGGTGTCCTCTTGGTGAGGATACAAGGCTGGAGACAAGACCAATCCCCTTCCCCCGGAGAACTCTGTCCCCAGGGCTCATTTGATGGGGGCTTCTGGGAAGCTCCTTTACAGGGATCGTCTCGAGAAGCAAGAGCTCACACATGCTGGGGCCTCAGACCTTCTTAATGGCCCCCAGCGTAGTAGAGAACAAAGGCGCGTGGTCCAATCTTTGGCTGCTTTGTGGCCTCGAGAAAGCCACCGGATGTCTCTGGACCTCCATTCCTTCTTCTGGCTCCCTGCACCTGCTCTCATCCTTCCTAGAGCCCAAACCCGACCCTGCAACACCCCTGTCCAAACCCTCCAGGGACTCCCTCGTCCCGGTATCAGCCCCCGCTCCTCGATCAGCAACGGTGACCAAGCCCAACTCAGGCTGCCCCAGGCTCTCTGTTGACTTCACTCTCAGGCAGGTCCTCCGCAGCTCAGCCTCAGAGGATAAAGGCCAGAGGTAGAGAGAGAGAGAGAGAGAGACAGAGAGAGAGAGACAGAGAGAGATCATTGAAAAATTTGATTCGACCATGCCCGAAGCCAGAAATCTCTGCACTTGTCGTTTATGTGAGCCAAGAAATATCACAACCACCTTTTTTTCTTTTTTTAAATAAGTTGGTTCACTAAGGTTTCTGTTCCTTACGACCATGTCCTTCCTGCAAATGCCCTTCTTGGCTAAAGTGAGCCAGGGTGGGCTTGCGGCCAAAGGACCCTAACGACTGCCAAGGGTCTTCACGATCCAGGCCCACGACCTGGCCAGGCCCCCC